ATAAGACCAATTTTGTACATTACAAAATAAGTCTTATATTTAGGACCGGAGAAGTATAATTTTTTTTTTTTGAGTAAGGAGAAGTATAATTTTCAATCCTTAGCTTGATTACTCATCATAGTGCGGTGAAACATGTTTGTTGTTACTCTAACGTTATGTGTGCAAATTCAAAAATTACAGCTTCTTCGTCACAAATTTCAATTTAACATTTGCGAATGTCTTATTTCTACATTGTCTCTTTTGCTTTCCCATCGGTTAGAGAGCCATCCTAGCCTAATGTCTATAGGCTAGAAGAATAACAAGGTGTCATATTCACTAACTTTTACTACCTCCAATGCTTAATATAAGAACTAGTTTGATATTCAATTTTATCCTAAATCTAAGATTCTAATATTCTTTGTCTCTCATATTTATCCCTTTTAAAAGAATAACAAATAGTCTTTATAGTAGTTGCACATGTTAAAGATTTCATTTAATTAATACACATGATTAGCAAATATATTCTAGGAAAGATAATATCTATTTATTACAAATAATTAATTTGACAAACTTCCTTAATCTTTTCAAATTAGTCAACTAGCTTTTATATTAAGAATTAAAGATAGTATTTTCTATAGCCTAAAAATGGATATTTTTAAGGAAATATGAATATACAGAACGACAAAGCAATTAGGCGAAAAAAGAGAGAGTAGATAATGGCCCCGATAGTAGCATAGCAGCGAAATTATAGTGTTTTTCCCCCCACTTTTTGGGTTGATGAAAGTCATTGTTAATCCTAAGTTTTAATTATTAATTATATTGTCTCTCTTCCATTACCAAAGATTAAGCATTCATGTTGAGCTAAAGAGACATTCAAAAAGACAATCCAAATCCATCTGTAATTTGAGTCATTTTAGTAAATGCTTTTTAATTTTGTCTCTACAAAATTAACTAAGCTCTAAAGAAAATGTCTCTCTACACAGGTTAAATTCAAGTGGTGTAGATTGGATAGTCTTTGGTAATAAGAAATCACCAATATTATTTTAAATATTACTCATCTTCTGATCCTTAATATAGGACCTAATTTAAAAGTTAATGTTGATCCTATATATAAGACATCTTTGACATGTTTATCAATTTTTTTTCCAAATTAACTCTATTGATATTCCTTAAACAATAATCAATAGAGGTAGGAAGGGAATTAAAAAAATGATTAGGATATTTTAAAAAAAATCATATTAACTAATTTAACTAATATTTTTAATCTACTTAAATTAGTTAAGTAGGTCTTACATTAAGGACTGAAGAAGTATATTCTATTTAGAATTTTGTAATCCCTCACTAAATTTATGCTTCAAACTCTTCCAATTTTATAATCAACCGACGATTGACATTATATGGAGGAAAAGAGAATCTAGCTTTCCATGCTACTTTTGGGGCTGACAGAGCCATTTAACCTAACAAATTCACTTAAATATTAATTCGATATATATGTCAATAAAATATCTACATCAATGATTAAATCTTGCAAAGATTACTACAAAAAATATAAAAACCTGAATTAGATACGAGGGATCTACACGTACACAAATATGCATGCATGCAAATATCGCAATCGAGCACATATCTATATACCACCCTGGACTTTATTTTTTTTAATCATTATTTTATTACTAAATGTATATTTTATATTAAAAAATATTGGATGCACAATTATCTCCACGTCAAATACCCTCCCTAGTTGTACTATATATATGTATGATTTGCATCGATCCTGAACACAAATTGAGTTCAACGATAGTGTCCTCTAAACACTTTCCAGTGTTCCTTTTCGGAGTGGTGTTTCTCACCACTTTTTGCTTTGCAGATTATTATGAGAATCCCACTTATAATAACCTACCCTATAATGAAGAGCCACTTCTTATTTACAACCCACAAATTGAGGGACGATCAATTTACAAGCCTTTAGTTAGGAAACTACTATGGATGGAGCCAATAATACCTTGGGGGCCGCCTTGGCCTATTGATCGCCCCAGAACCAAGCCATTTAAGGGGAAATCAGATAATAAGCAATCTAAGGAGGAACCAAATAATAATAAGCCACCTAAGGAGAAACCAGATCATCAGAAGCAATCTAAGGATAAGGACAAATCACGAACAAGGCATCGGTTCCACCGTTTTGGTCACTAGCTTCCTTCATGAAACAAGAATTATCGTTGGGTATCCTCTTATTTTAAGTATGTTTTGTTATTATAAAAATAAAGGAGACCTATTTTCAATTGTGTCCTCGAGTACACTTTATATATGTATGGGTGTATGGTTGTAGACATGTTACATTCTCCCAACTGTGACATTTATGTTATATAATAAAAGTTGTCTATTTTGGCTTACTTCTCCCTGTATTTGTCAGTAGGTTTTGTTAGCTATAATTTATTTGAAAAAAATGTGGGTTAAGATCCAATTTTGGACAGAAGTTTTTCCAACTGTGGCTTATTCAAAAGTTTTTTTAAGATCAATATTATTTCTGAAGTGTTGAAAAAAGGAGCAAATTAAATTTTCCCTAAACCTTTAAAGCACTAATGTTGACTATTGAAAAAACTAATGTTAGCCATTAACATTTCTAACAGCTAGGGGTGATATTGCTCTTTTTTTAACACTTTCGGGTAATATTGTTCCAAAAGAAGACTTCTATATATCCATAGCTCCTAAGGGAGAAACTTCGAAGAAAAATTGGACCTTAACCCCGAAAATGTTTATGATAAGCATTGTAAGTATTATTTGGGTATGATTTTGAGCACATAATTGTCATTATGAAATTAAAAACTATATATGACCGAATTTGTCTTAAATGATATTAGGTGCATATATAAAATATACTTCTCCGGTCCTTAATATAAGACCTATTTAACTAATTTGATTAGATTAAGAAAGTTAGGTAAGTTAGTTAATTATAATAAATATGACATGTTTTTCCTAAAACACCATAATCATCTTTTTTAATATTCTCTCTCCCTCTTCTACTTGATTATAGTTGAAGGAGTATCTATCGGAGCATCTAGGGCCAAAATCAATTCAACAATTAGGTCCTATATTAAGGACCGAAAGAATATATATTAAGAATAATTGATTCTTTATAAGAAGCTGGCATGTAAATAATAAGATCAACTGAAGATGGATCAAAGAAAAGCCAACAACAAATTAGTTGGGAATTAACCGTCAATATTTTGCACTTGCCATTTTTGAACTAGTTTAGCAATTACAAATGGTCAAATTAATAATGTCAAGAACGTGCAGATTTTTTCAAACATTACCTTAATGCCCAAGATAAACAAAACTATACACAATGCCTTCTTCTTCTTAAAACCTGGATCATTTTGCCTCTTAAGGAACCAAAACCTTTGTTTTGAAACTTAAAGAACCATGTTAGAAAGAGGATAAGTGAGTCATTAGTTAAGTGAGACAGGCTTATATAAAAAGTATAGTGTGATGTGTTTAGAGTGTATGATGTGTTATCCTCATCAATGAGAAAGAGGATAACTTGGGTCTCCTTTCTTAATCTCAATAATTTTGTGCTGTTATTTAATTTCTTAAGTGAGAAATTTGATTAACTCTAAGAGGATTCTTGTATTTTGTTCTTCATTAATAGCATTTCATAGTCTTTATTCTCGTTTCTTTACATGGTATCATGAGCAGGTCATTTTTGGGCCTAATAATACCTATGCCCGATGGTTCTTGTTTCCCCGCCACAGTCCAATTCTTTTCTTGATTTGACGACGCTGTTTTTATTTTCTTGCTGTGAAATTGCCAAACAGAGCACATCTTATCTCCCTACCATTGCAAGTCCAAGTTTCTTGAATCTAGGAGTTGTTTGGAATCAAGTTCTTGTCATTTTTTCTAAAGATCTAAGCCCATCTACCGTCGATGATAGCTCCATTGAAGCTGATGGCAAAATAGCCTACTCATCATTTGTCAGTGTTTATCTCTAACAATCCCTGCTAAGCCATCCTCAACGATCCAGTCTCATGTACACCTGCCACAATCAGAGTCTACGACAGAGCAAATAGTTTATCATCTATGAAGGCTTGATTTGATGCTATGGTCTATAGCTCCGTCGAGACCGCTTCACTCTTTTGATTGCCGCAAGACCACAGTCGAAGTTTGAAGCCAGTGACAAAGCACTATCATTGTCAACAATCTTGTGTTTATCTACCATCTTTACTGCTAAGCCCTAATCTTGTCACAGGAAGGATCACCAAGTTCATGTTTCCAGTAACAAGAAACTCATCTATGCTTCTGAGTCTCTTTTAATGGTCATTTATTAAGTTGTAGAGAACAAACTTTGAAACTTCAATTCCTCGATGTGATCCACCTTTTCTGCAAAAAAAGTTGCATTCTATGCAGAAAATTGCCTTATCAATCTTCACGCTGTGCAATTCTTGTTACAATCATCCCGTTCTAGTTTCTTGCAAGCCCAATCATATCCTTTCTTAACTATGTCGATCTTTGCTTGGTCTTACCTTCATTGTAATAGGGACGACTCTCAATCATGGCTATGGAGACAACGATATGAGAATCTTGGCTATGGCTACAGAGATGACAAGATGAGGTTAATCGCCATCTCAAACAACAAGTTCATGCTCAAAGGAATGTTATATCGTGAAGCTACATGGTTATCACGAAGTTGTATGGTTAATTCATTGGATGATTAGAGTCTTCAACCAAGTGAATTCACTATTTCTCTCAGCACACTTGAATAAAGTAAATGACTTTATGCATATATAGACAAGTATGTGTTGTGCAACACACTCCTCTATGCAGCTAGATATGAGCAGATTTATTAATTATGGCTGAAGGCTTACACCAAAAAAGGTGGAATTTCTATAACTTTTCATTAAACTTTGAATCATGACTTATCATTTTATTTTCTTCAAGATTTATACTATAAAAATAAAACCTAGATTCATTCTTCATGTACCAGAGAGCAACTTCTATTTATCAGAACTATAAAGATGTTACTTCTGAAAACTGTACCTTTCTGTTTCAGCTCTAATAAATCATGCTTTGTAAATTCTAATTCTTTCATACCACAGATATATTATCAATATATACATAAATATACACACACACTAACTCCCCAGCTATGCTAAATTACCCCTAATCAACGTACAGCCCATTAAGTGAAATTTACAAAACGGAAAATATGAACATCACATATCACAAGAGAAAAAGGAGAACATAACATAAAATATATTCAAGATTAATTAATTAACTAAGCACTAAATTCTTCTCTCCTTCAGCCTTAACTATGCTTCCACCAGCTCCTCTTTCCTCTTGGATGAACTGGGCCCTATGGTTAAATAGAAAGGAGGGGTGAGATTCAAAGAATCCCAGTAGCAGCAATCATATTTTATATATTATGCATAGTATAAAACTAAGCATGCAAAACAAGCCATAGAGAACACCACCTTACAAAATAACTAAAATGAACTAAATAACTAACTGAGACATATTCGTTGCACATAACTGAATAACTAAGCAACTACGTTAACTAATTAACTAAACTGTATAACTGAGTAGCCACTGACTTATTATCTGAATTGTATAACTAAATAACTGACTAACTATGCAGCTGCTATCTGATTAACTGCTAAATGTGCATATGCTGGACAGTGAAATGCATGTATATAGCCATGACAATAACTAGTAAGGCAATTTACATGTTCTCATGCTTAACTATAGTATTATGGCACAAACATACATGCCACCAATACAAAACATACAAAATAATGATTAAAGCTACCTTTCCTCCTGCTATCCTGTGCTACTATCTTGGTCTGAGTTTCTTGTTCGTAGACCGGCCACCAATTAAATCCTAGCAGTGCATATATATATATATATATAAATAAGATAAGTCCAAACTGGATTATGGTTAACCCATAACTAACTAAATCTCTCTATGACCCCCACTTAGGCACACTCTGCTCTCAAGGTGGTTGGTCATCTTATACAAAATTCCTATGTTTCATCCTTGTATTCCAAGAGTCTCTAAAGTCTCTCCTTTTCTTATGCTGCTCTTGACTTCTTTATCCACTAGAATTCAATTAAAGAAATAAGATTCAGCATAGTTATTAACTCTTGATGCTTCTTGAATAATTGATTAGCACGGAGGAACACAAAACAAGCAAACTTAAATCATCATTCAAATTCCCTTCAATTATATAGCTATATAGAAACATTGGCCTAACCTATAGGGACATTTAAAAAGAATTTAATCAGTCCCTAATGTTTAATTTATTCTTTATGCGTTTCACACACATGGATACTTACATCAGTATCGACACATACATTTATTTCATATACACATATTCCTTTATGCACAAGCATTTCCACATTCTTCTACCTTAGCTTCTAAGTCCTGAGGCCAAAATATAAAATTTCAGTATTTTCGAAGGTCATTTCCATCCCACAACTCAACGTGAGTAACATACATAAGAAACTAAATACACACATATATACTTGATTTTAGTTAACTACATAAGCCCTCCAGCAATCCCACGGGCTCCAATAGGAAATCTAGCTTCAATTTTTCACTTTAAACATTATAAAACTGTCGCTAGCGTTCTAACCATTCAAAGCATAATTGAGATGGCTAAACAATTGACTAGTCAAAAGAGGCATCAAATAGAAATTTAAAACTGATTTTCCAGTTTCAATTTTGAACTCATAGGCTTTAAAACAAACTAATTCAAACAGCCACCATCGTAATTCAGCATAAATCAACAAGTCTTACTCAATCTCTAACTTCAATAACCATGATTTCAATCAGAAAATCAGATTATAATCATTTACTGCCTATATCTCAACAGCCCCAAAGCAACACTTGCTTATCTTTCACCTTTACTAAGTGTTTTAATCAGCTTTAGCTTTACAAACATTTAGACAGCAGCACCGTCAAATCTGAAAGCATATTTCCAGTTTTCATAACGCATACACACACATATATAGAGTTCTCAATTCCATCGTTCGAGTTTGCTTCACCAAGCTTCAGCTTCATCAATTTGTAAATATCAAGTTCCATAAACAATGACCTTCACAAACACTTGAGAGTGTAAGCTATGCAAAATAAATTGAGATATACACAATGAAATTCGAACGATTCCTCTGGACCTTATAAAAATAAGATTCGAAAATCACTATATAGCATCTTGCAATTACTTACATCTCATCATTCACAGCCATATATGCATTCTAGCCTCAAGGAAATATTCCAAACAGCAGCACCCATATTCAAGTTCAACATATGAATATACATACATATATATTTTAAGTTTCATTGAAAAGTCCTTGAGCATCCTTTTACCAAGCCTATAACAGATTCTAACTTCACAGCCCAGACACCATAGTCAAAAACTTCAACAATACCAACAACTATATATATAAGCCTCGGGTTCTTCTATGCCATCCTTCTTTAAATACAAAATTAATCATCATAAATTTAAGAACCCATTTATATGGTAGTCAAAGAACCCAAAAAAAAAAAAGACAAGGAGTTCTCGGTCTCGAATAACAAGAACATAACGAATGCATCTGTCTTGATTAGCAGCAGGCAACCACATTAATAACTACTCAAGCTTAAATCTTCACCAAATCGGCGATCTCTCCTCATTCCTTACTGTAACCCGACACTCCACAAACAGAGACAGCAACAACATGATTCAAAAGCCACAAAGCAGAACCAATAAATCATATGCAACACCAATTATTAACTTAATCTATCTCTAATTATAGTTTTAGACCCTGAACCATTATTTTCCCTAACAGTGACCTTTGGATTGACTCACTACCCCCAAATCAGCACCCCAATCGGCAAAATAAGAAATAGAGAAAGAACAATGAGATTACCTTGGTCCAAATCACCGATTAAATGCATAGTTTCCTTCTCGTACTCCCTCTTCGAGACCACCTCTCCCGGTCTCTTCTCCTTCTTCGCATCCAAGTAGTGTGGAAGAGGAAGAAATAAACAGAAGGGAAGCACAGGTGTCAGATGGTGGTTTCACCACGTGTATTTTGGGTGCTGACTAATGCTTTTATGCTTTTCGAGCTTACCCAATAAGCCTACTTGCCCAGCACTCCTCAGCTCCCATAGTCAAGGCGCACGTGTTGGGCCCCTTCCTTGCTAATTAGAGAGTCAAATCATAGTTTCAAACATGTTTTTACGGTTTACGAAATAAATATATAAATATGTGGAGAAATTTGTTTTGTTTTACGAAAAAGTGCTTGTAAAACTATGATTTGGAAGTTGTCAAACACCCCCTTAAAATGTGTCCCCCTCCATTTTGAGTTTGGAGTATTGAGTTAACTATTTTCTACTCTTTTTGTTTGATATTTCCTTATGAAGCAACTCTCAAAATTAATCTTTAATATATTAGAATAATTTTCTTCTTCATTTAGCTTCCATAGCCTGTAAAATAATTTTTTTAAAATTTTCGAGCTAAAAATTAACCTCTAGCTTCTTTCTTCTTTTTTTTTTTTGAATTTCTCAGAAAAATAAGCTTTTAATTTAAGAAATTAGCTTTTAAACTATCTTTACCCCTTTTTATTCCAGGAAATAAACTCTCGTAGACGCTTTTATTTCCCAAAGTAATTATCTACAACTTTTCCTTAATTATTCTGAGCATTTATATTATAAATAATTATTACTTTTTGATTTTTTTCTTGAATTTCTTACTCAAAAATAGGCTTTTATTGAATAATTATTTTTTAAGCCCTGACTAATTATTTAAACTACCCAGGCATCTTATAAATTTCTAACTCTAAAATTTGGGATATTACATGCTGGACAACAGAAACATGCCTATAACTGATCCAAAATAGTATAAACATGCCTCTGAAAATTGCGAGTCTGTTGGATCAGTTATGCCCATTTAGTTGTGAGAGCGATTCTAGCATAAAAGTTATACAAACCTTTGCCCATCCTTTATCTGGTTAAAGAGTGCAAGTCATTTAAAAAAAAAAAAAGGTCCATGAACAGTGAAGATCGCTTGAAGAGATGAAGGAGAATGGTTCACTGCCCATGGTATAATCTATGCAACTTCAACTATGAATGAGTTAACAATGGCAAGCTGCTTTCTATCCATCAAATTGAGGAGGCTTTGGGAAAAGATGTTGATTTCAAGGTGCTGCTGCTTTTACAATTCATGTTAAATGCAGAAGATGGATTCAGCTATACTAGCTTTGAGACAGCAAGGTATGATCTGAAAGTCTTGTATCTACTAATGGAGTTTTCAATACATGGAGATATTTAAATGGCCGGCTACAGTCACAAAGATGAGTGTCGTGAAGATTACATGAGTAGATAAATTTGTGTGAAGAGAAACTAAGAAGAAAGTTCATGAAGCCAAGAAGATGATATTGTCACAATTACCATCATTATGTTAAAGGATATGGCTAAAGCTATTTCACACAAGGTGGATTTGTATGTCGGTGAAAGTCAAAGAGGAAGTTGTCTCCATGAAAAAAAAAAAAAAAAAAAAAAGGAAGATGTCTCCATGCACGTTTTATTCACAAAGTTTAAAATCAATACAATTTTAATTCTCTTCGGCTCCCTGCTTTGTGTTGTCAAGATGAACACATGAATTAAGAGGTGTTCAACCTAAGGGGCATGTTAGAGAGAGGATAAGTGAGTCATTAGTTAAGTGAGATAGACCTATATAAAAGGTCTGGTGTGATGTGTTTAGAGTGTAGGATGTGTTATCCTCATCAACGAGAGTGAGGATAACTTGGGTCTCTGATCGGACCTAAACATTGCCTTCTAGGTCATCAAAAATATGATTGTACCAGATAATGTAGTATAGAGCACAACCTATTGTTCTTCATGAAGAGCGCTCTTATTGGAAAACCTAGACTAAATTGACTATAAAAAACATATTGACTTGGGTAAAAAAAAATCCGGGGGGTTTTAATTGATGAAAACAGTGGTGCAATAAAAGTAAAATGCAAGGCAGTAAATCTTTTTAGTCTTTTTGGATTAATAAAAGAATGCTTTGGATTAAGGGAAAAATATGATGAGATAGGCTATTGGTGATGAAAACTTTGTTATCATTGCTCTTAAAATGATATGGGAGTTATGAAAATCTCTAATTCTAGATAAAAACCACAAGCAATCATTTAGGTCTAATGTTTTAATTAATGAAAACTTACTTTGTTCAAAGTTAATTATCACCTCTCAAAACATTGTTAGAAACCACTTAGAATGTAATTAAAATAGATGATGCAAATGCCCTCAATGATTAGTAACCAACAATCATAGAAACCAAGCAAGCAAATTAACTATCAATAATCATTGACAATCAACTAACCAACAAGGAATCAAAACTAAATATATATATATTTATATAATCCAACACAAAACATCATCCAATTTAATTACAATAGTCTAATCACAAGAATTCAGAAATCAAGTCTTACACAAAGAGTAGAAATTCCTAAATCTAGAAATATCTAACACATGTTCAAGCACAAAAGTAGACTAAGAAAACTCCCATAATGTGTCCATAAGCTCAAGCTTTGTCCTCCATCACCAAGAGACTACAGATTTAGTCTCTCATAGCTTCCACTTTGCCATAATCAGTCCAAGAGATTTCTGCCATGAGGAATGCCCAAAAAAGGATTGAAAATGTGGAGAAGAAGATGATGGAAGTGGTTTAATCAATGTAGAATTGAAGGAAATGGTGGAGAAATGGAGAAAAATGAAAGATTAAGGTAAGCGTTGAGTGGAGGCTTGGGAGGGAATGTTTAAGACTTCTTTTCTACAAATTTGGAAAATGAAGGCTTCTCCATTTCATGGCTACTGGTTGCATTTCATCTAACTGCAAAATGACCTAGTTCAAAATGCATAGTTTCACTAAAAATGCATCTAAGTCACGACTTGGGAGCAGTCTACGTCGCGACTTGGGAACACAGAGGCACTTCGAGTCTTGCATTTTGGCTCTTCTCCTTTTGGCTTTTTTGAACTTGTGGCTCCTTAAATACTCCATCTTGGGTCTTTAAACCTCCTCCAAATACCTCAAATGAAAGCAAAGAACTTTGTAAAAATTAAACAAGTTAAAAATCAAGGCATTTATAAATTGGATAAGATAATTGACCCTTTTTACCCTTATATCAGTAAAATGCAATGCATCAATCAACATAATCAAAAAGGTATAAATGCATGCAAAATGAGGACAAAAGTGTTGCAAAATACTAGAAAATAATTTAAAAAACCATGTAAAGATTAGGTTCTATCAATCTCTCTCTTTAATCCTTATAGTTTTGGGTTGTTAGTTAATCTCTCAAGTGAGGAATTTGATTAACTCTAAGAGGATTCTTGTACTTTATTCATCATTAATGGCATTTCATCGCCTTTATTCTCATTTCTTTACAAATCAAAATTAAAATAAGGACATACTTGAGATACCAAAGATTATATTAATCTAATGAAAAGAAAAAATATCCTTTAGAAACCAAAATTGACGAAACTTAAACTTGCAAATATAATTTTGTTCAAACAGTCTTGCAGCTTTTGTTCCAACAATCTTTATGGACCTTTTCAAAACCATAATATAATTTATCTGAGAACTAAAATATCTCTTCCTAGAAAGATGGGTAATATTTGTATCCTAATTCTTTATCAACTGGCACGGTAATAGCTGTAAAAAATTAAAAAAAAAAAATACTTGAACGACTATTGAATTATTTGAGCTTCTTTGATCAATCTCCATGTGTACTTACTATTAAAACCAGATAAAAACGTTCAATATGCCCTCTTTTAGCTTAAGAGCAGGTATATTATATATAATAAATAAATTATAATTTAAAAGTTTTAAAATATATTTACATTTATGGGTGTGTGTTGTTTTCGATTGTTCATTTTAATATTTATTGTCGATATTTATTTTATTAAAAACCTCCATTTTAAAATATATAAGAGACAACTCGACAAATAATGAATAATTAGATTAATCAAAATGAAAATAGCGCATATATATATAAACAAATAATAGTTTGACACATTAGGAAAAAAGATAGAAAATGGGAGGCGGTTATAGGGGTTTGAAGTAGAGGCTTGGGATTTGTCTTGAAAAAAGGTTAATTTCGGACTATATTTCACAGCTTTTAATAATACTTCTTCACAAAAATGACAATATATAAGAATATATTATTCCCTCCTGCCCCTTCTGTCACGTTATCACTTTATTATAGCGTTATTTGTTATTGAGAAAATTACATTCATATCTTAAGTAAGAGATTTTATTAGAGCAAGGTTCCTTGAGATGTTCGAATTAATTTCAAGTTCCAAGGGACCTATGGGTAGGAGATTGCAATTGTAAATTGACCATCTTGCCTTCAACACTATCCTCTGTCAATTCCAACTTCTTGTTAATTGTGTCTATACTAGTTGTCATTTCGTGCTGCACCCTAATTTGTCATTTGGATCATAATAAATTGTCATTTAGAGTACCCCAACTTTTCAGGCCACAGTAAATTTTCAATGCATGTCTTTTCACTTGACAATAGAGCTGGGAATCAGGGCCGGCCCGGCCCTCCAGGGCCGGCCCTTCAGGGCTGGCGGGCTTAAAAGGGCCGGCCCTCCAGGGCTGAAATTTTAAAAATATCCCAATTTGCTAAGCCCGGCCCTTAAGCCACAGGGCCAGGGCCGGCCCACGGGCTTTTGGCCCGTTTAAGAAAAAATACTATTTTTTATATTTATCATATTTTTTTTATAAAAATATAAAAATAAACCAATGAAATTATTAATAAAAGATATAAATATGAATAAAATTAAGTCACAAATATAAAATATTATCATATATAAATATTCATCAATATCTAAGAACATCTAAAACATTCATTAACAAGATAACAACATCTAAAAGTTTTATCTATAATGCAATTGTGCAATCAATAAACACTATCATTAATATTTTGAAACTTCATCATCACTATAATTAATTATTTTTCTTCATAAGTATGCTTTTCGTTCGTAACAAAAATATCAAGTTTTTCTTCTTTATAAGAATTTTATTTTTAAATTTTGCTATCTAACTATTATTTTACTTTAATGTGAGAAA